ATGTGTAGTACAGTAGTAGGACCTTTGTTTTACATAACTTTGCTTATATTTTAATCTGGAATTTATTTTATATAACTTCTTCAAATATTTATTTCTTAATTCACCAGTTTTTACAAAATTAGTAGAATTTTTATTCATTTTTTTAGGATATTATTATTCCTATTTGGACAAGTAGTTTCCCTTCCAATTATTTTGGATGATTAGAAATGGTTGTATAATTTTAATACTGCTTTTTTATTATTGTTCATCATACTAAAATTATATTTATAATATACATACCTTGGTGAATTATAAACAATCTCCTATATTCTTCTTTACTTTTTAGGTTCTTTTTTGTGCCATTTGTTGGTAAGGATTCTTTCTAAATCAGTAACAATTTAGTTGAGATGAGAGTAATTTATTTGAACCACTGACAGAGAATAGTTTTGGAAAAGATGATCTGGTTCTTTACCACTAAAACATGGCATTGTTTCCCCCACAGCATTGATTTCTCTCATATTACTACTTCCCTGACCACACTTTGAAATGAGTTTCAGAAAGCAAGAGTTCTCTAAGTATGATCCACAGAACAGTAGCCTCATGATCTCTTAGGAATAAATAGAAATATAAAATCTAGCCCCAACCCAGAAGTATAAGAGTACAACCCAAGCAATAAGGAATAAGGGAATCCAACAATATGTTTTTGTACAAGCCTTGAGGGTAATTTTGATGCATATCAAAGTCTGAAAATCAGTACTGGAAGCAACAAATACCAGACATACATTCTTAAATTTAAAAAATAACATGAGAAGAAGCGGTAGTATTAGGGGCAGGAAGGGAGCCAAGGAGAGGGGAGACAGTGAGTCACACAAGTGAAAGGGAAGAGTGGAGCACAGCTGTGCTCAGTGCATGCCATACACCCGCGTGGAAATGTCACAGTGAAAGTCACTCCCTTGTACAATTAGCACAAGTTAGAAAAAGGTGCAATGAGTAGAGAGTTTTTAAAGTGCCTGCCTGATAGACTTGTGTTAAAAAGGTAAACATTTTAAAAAATCATTCTAGTGGAGCCCACTTTAACCACTGTAAATTTAAAGTCTTTCTAATAAAAACTTTAATGAAATTTCATAAAGCAATGTGCTTGTGTCATGAAGTAAATAAAATATTTGCATCAAAGACAGAGGGTTTCTTTCCTCATAATGGAATCTGATGTAGTACAGGTGTGAAATCGAGAGGCTGCCATCTTCTTTATGGGCCTAAATGTTCTTCCGGACTACATTAGCCCACTTTTTAATTGAATCTAAAATCCTTGCAATTTAAGGATATCAAGGAATAATTTTGAGGATTTTGAATTTTGAAAATGGAAAATAATATTTCTTAGTATAATTCTTTTCAAAAGTTACAAGAAATGGTGTCAAAAAGAAGACTGGAGAAGAAGACTGGAGCATCCTTAAGTGTCACAAAAAGGGATTACCTTGAAATACTTGGTTAAAAATGCTCCTAAGTAGGGAAAGCAAAAGGCAAGCCAGAGGGACAGTTGCCCACAGAGCAATATCAATGGCATCGTGTTGCCTAAAATGGTCCTGGAATGACTCCTTCAGGGCAAGTTATCCGATCAATTTTTATTTGTTTGTAAAGGTGCCCACATGATTTTGCTATCAAGTGTCCTCTTTCATGTGAATCTTATTAAGTTCATTACTATTTGGTTTTATTTGAGTGTTGTTGTGATTTAGATCTGGAATGTCCACGAAAGTCTGGTGCATTCAGGGGCAGGGCTTTCGGAAGGTGAATGGATCGTGGGATCAAAGTACCCACCAATGGATTAAACTATTGATGAGTTCATGACTAAATGTGCTCTTAGGAGGACCGTCCTGGTTGGAAGAAATGTGTCACTGGAGGTGCGCTTGTGTAGGATAAATACCCATCTCAGTTCCTCCTGTCTTTCTGCTTTCTGGCTGCCATGGGATGAGCACCTTTCCTCTACCATGCCGATTATTGTTTTTGAGACAACAAGTTGTAACTGAACACTTGAAAAACCAGGAGCCAAAATAAATCTCTCCTCATTTAAATTTTCCTAGTAATAGGAAGGTATCAAATACAAGCAAGCACATAGACATTTCAATAAAAATATAATAGTTCTAAAGAGCTGTTATTTATAATGTTTTATGTACCATCTATTTGAAGGACATTTAATGTCAAGATTTTTTACATGTACTGTTTTTCTCTAATATCAAAATCTTGGCATGGTTATCATGGTAAGTATAGCACTAAGCTATATATTATCAATATCTTGGAAGAAGTGTTATTTCTTTGGTTATTATCACATTCAAATTGATGGAAAGGAAAATTGGTAGAGACAAATTTTTCTTTCCACTTTTATGACAGTATTATCTTAGCTACTTTCTCCATGTTGGGACAAAATGCCCAACACCCATAAGTTATAGGAGGAGAAGTTCATTTTAGCTCAGCTTAGAGAGACTTCAGTCCATAGTCATCTGGCTTCAAGGCAAGGCAGCATGACAGAGTGGTATGGCAGATGATAACAGTCCATGGCAGGGTAGCCAGGAAGGAGTAGGCAGTCATACTCTTCCAGGCCATAACCACTGTGACCCACCTCTTCCCCCTAGGCTTCAACTTCCAACATCAAACCCAGGTATAAATCCATCAATGGAGTAATTCAGTATCACATAGCCGTAACCCAGTCATTTTCCAAAAATCCCACCTATGAGTGCATGAGACTTTGGAGGGACATCTATATATGTCTTAAGAAGTATTTTCCCTATGCACAACACATGCCATTGAAATATGATTAATTCCAAATGTAGAAGTTGAAGTTCATCAAATGGTCTTGATCAAAGGAGTGCCTCCAACAGTGCAGCAAAGGATCCGAAGCCAGGTAGAAGATGAAGAAAATTGAAGAATAGCAAGATATGTCCCAAGATTAAGCTTGAAAGCCAGGTCCAGGTGGAACATACTGTTGAGCTAAAGGCCACCTGGATTCCAGTGTGCTTTTTATTTACAGAGCAAGACAAACAGGAAGAGAAGGTGGGATAATTAGTGCTATGTGGCTTACTTGGCCAAAGCAGAACCTAGCATGATGGTTTTGTGTTCAGGGCAAGTGCAGGAAGGGAAAAAGGAAGAATACGTAATGTAACTGTCTCCTGGGGCTGTCTAGTCTGTGGAGAAGAAAGGGAGTAGGGATTAAGTGAAGGGCCGTCTTTAGGCTCAGCCTGTGGCAAAAAAGAAAGTTGATATTGAGGCATTACCTGTATTCCTGAGTCAACCCATTGTGTTCAAGCTTCATTTATAAATGAATATGAATAATTCACTTAATGCTAATGTTAGTACCTTACTTGGTCACATGCAAGAATTTTAAAATATATAGAATGAGTATATATTTGGGCCTTTGCATCGCACGGAGTAATGTTCTTTGTTTTTCATCTGTAAAATCGATCTCCATTTGTAATTTCCTTAGGAAATGAATATGAATTGCATATATGTGTGTGTGTATATATATATATATATATATAACTTTCAAATGTAAATAACCTAAATAAATAATAAATCACTAAATTATCTTTATCCAAAATATCCAGACAAATGAGTATAAATATTAGTCATACGGCTTTTAAAAGTTAAACTATCGTACTTAATCTGACATTTTGCTTTGCATCAGAGAATTCTTATTGGGTAAAACACTTTCCAGCTGAAAGTTTATTTCTATACGTATATGTATATATGTATATATATTTCTATACGTATGTACAGTAAAGGCCATTCCAGCTGAGCACCAGCAAACTTTGCACATTGTGGCATTGTGATGAATAGTAGTGTATCCCTACACATATCAGTCCTCTTCCAACTGCAGCCATGCTATTGTGCTTTGCAAAATAATTAAACACCACTGACTCTAAAGCACCCTTCTCAATTAAATTGCAACTCACAGAGATCTATCTGCCAGTAAGTCTTACCTTTTTTGTTATCATGGTGTCATTTTTCATCATTCCTCAGTTTTTGCATCCCATATTTGTCATGGCATATACTTATTTTATTGATAAAGTTGACCAATGTTTATTGATCCCTTGTTATAAACCAAGGATACGTTGGTGGGTTTAGCATATTTTTAGGATACTTTATAGGGCATAGCACGTTCTTTCTGGAAATTACAAACCAGCCTTCTTTTCTTACTCTCAAAACAAACTACATTTAATGCATTTAAATGGGAACAAAGGGCTGAAGTACTTTTGCAGTAGCCTTTGAGATACACAGAAAGTTATAAAATAAATTTTAGAGATATGTCTAATAGGATTCTGAACCATAAAATATCCAGGAATGAAATAAGTTCACTGTCTTAAATTCTGCAGAAAGTAGTGATTATCTAAAACTAGTAATATGCTGAATTTGACCATGACTACAATTTTTTGACATACAGATCAAATTGCTTTTGCAATACTTAAGTAGCTCGTAAGCCATTCGGATTGTGCACTAAATACTTCATGTCACAAAGGTGAAATTGAGTCAGTTTTTGCTTAAAAAGAATAAGTATCTAACTAATTTCTATGAAGAGCTAATGAGTAAACACTATTTGGTAAAAACTCCACTTAGCTTTTATCTCTATTTTCCCATTGTATAATTTAAGCACTTGCTCTTCATCTTCGAGAATCATGCCATGAAGAGTTATAGAATGAGTAAGAGTGAAATAATGTTAAGATGAGTGAAAAGAGAGGGAGAGAAAGAGAAAGGTAAATAAAAACAATTAACATGTGTTACATACATGCATCAACTTTCCATGATGAATGTAATCACTATGCACTGCAAACATACTAATAACAATTTTTAAAACAGAACAATGAACTTCTTTTTTCATACACAAAATAGAAAGAGGCATTGTTTTGCAATATAGATCAAGGCCACAAAAAAATGTGACACTTGCTGAAGTTTTTGTATACAGGTGAATATCGTGCTGCTAAAAAACTGCCATATTTCTTTCAATTTAATTTTATCCCTGCTTTGTTTCTTTGCAGAAAGATTCAATGTTTATCTCATGCCTACACCAAATCTGGATATTTATGGTGAATGCACAATGCAGATCACTCATGAGAATATCTATCTCTGGGATATCCACAATGCCAAGGTCAAGCTGGTGATGTGGCCTCTCAGCTCCCTAAGGAGATATGGTCGAGACTCCACGTGGTTCACCTTTGAGTCAGGAAGGTAAGCGTTCATGCAGAGACCAAGCTCAGGAGGTGTGGAACAGACTCCAGACTGAAAAATTCTGTCCTAAATTGCCAGGGATGCCCATCGTCTTTATAAAGTTCAGAAGTTAACAAATAAAAAATTTTTCAGATTCTCATTGTAATATGAAGGAAATGTATTAATTCTGTGACAGATTAATCACCTCATTCAAAATAAATTTTAGTTTCTTACATTAACATCAAGCTATTTTAATAATGCAGATTGTTGCAGTAGTATTGTCATGCTGGTTTTTTTCTTTATGCTCATAAAAGATTTCCATAAAATTAAATGTCCTTTCTTGCACTTTTGTGAATTCCATATCTGTAAGCAATAGTAAATAGTGTTTTTATAAAATTAAATTAAATGTCACTTTTTAAGTTTGTAGCAAGTTATGCCTCTCATTCATCCAGATGTTTATGTTAATGATATTACTAGTTAAGCATGATATCAACTCAGAATGTAGAAATATTAGCACATCCATAATCTATGAAGTGTGCAACTCTGATTTTAAACATAGCATGTCAAGGCAAATAAGGTGGTTTCTCCATCACACCATATGGTTAGAATCTATAAATGTTTGAAATGAGTGCTTCATTCACAGTAGTTATTCATAGACATGGATTTAAATATGAGCTACAACCAACAAAATTGATTTGTTTTTGGCTCTAACTCCTTTGTGCTATTGTTGTCTGGAACTCCAGATAAGACAGGTTTTTGAATTTTATATAAGAAAAATATGCTCAATGCATCAATCTTCATATAGTGGATATGATGGTCACAATATGAAAATGAATCTATACTCATAAAAAATAATTATTAGTGAGATTTCACCATATTTGATATAGCAGTTTAGAGTACCAAATTTCTCCTTAAAAAGCTGTTAAATATTTATATTCTTATATCCATTTAGGGTAGGTCATATGACTCTTAAATTTTTTTTTTGTACCAGGGATTGAACTCTGGTCCTTGCGCTAGCAAGGCAGGCCACAGAACTGCTGAGCTAAATCCCCCGCTGTCTCTTAAAATTTTAAGGAGAAAGGGAAAACCTGAGCTATAGTAATTTTACCAGTCTGTAGTATTTTTGCACCAAAAAAATGTTAAACTTATTAAATTCTTACCCTGCTGATTTCTCTGAAGTCTTGAATCTTTTGTTTACTTAACAACTAGGAGCTCTTTCAAATCTATTGTTTATTTCTACCTTCCTAGATATTGAAAGTAATAGTAATTGTATTATAGATAACTGTTGAGAAATAAAAATTCTCATAGCACAATGAATATTTTAGACATGCACACTATTTAAAAATTATATGACTATGAAAAAGAGATTATAATTTTATAGAGTCATCGACCTAAATTCCATAATACACTGGGTTTTTTGCTGACTTTCGATTTTAGTAATAATATGATTTTGCTTGTTTATTCGTTTTTTCCCTCTTTTGTTTTTTTGAAACAGTGTCCCCCTTTGTAGGTTAGCCTGACCTTGAACTTACTATGTGGCCCAAGATAGCATCTTAACTCAGCAGGAGCCTCCTGCCTTAGTCTCCATAGTGATGGAATTACGGACTTGTACCACCACACCGATCTGTTTGCTCATTTGTTTGCTTTTTTCCCCATCACTAACAAACATAACTTCTGGGTTCTCCTCCCCATCTTTCTCCTGCGTATGCCTATCTTCCTTTTTTTGCATAGAACAATTTAACTCTTATCTGCTACATCCTTAGAAGAGGCTTCTTACTCATGATTTTAAATAACACATAACTTAGCTTTTTTTCTTGGTTGTTCAGAATTTTCATCCATTTATACCTCTCTCCACATTAGGTTTTGCTAAATTTTTTTCTGTTCTTTTTTTATTTTATTTGTATGTTTTTGACAATTTCCTATTCTTTGAAAGTCTTTAAGGGAAGTGAACTGCATCTCCACAAGTTTAAAAATTGTTATCCTCAATCAGAATTTCAATCTACTTCATGTTCATCTTGACTTGTCTGACGCTAGGAGTTGGTCTACTGTGATCATGATGATTTCTAATAACTTTAAGTCATATGAGAAAACACAAGTATATTAGGATAAAGTCCATAACCTTCAAAAATTCTTATAGACTTAGGTAATTTTTGTTTCATTGTTTGCCAGAATAGCTTTTGTAAAAACATAGCATCTTAATATCTAAAAATCATCTTGATTCCCACATTCCTATGTACGCCGAGAATCAGAGAGTTAAATTTACATCACAGGTCTGTTGGTTAACAGTTTAACTTTGGCATTTGACCCCTATGTAGTTGCATTTTCTCCTTTCTTTTGGGAGGATCTATTATGGAAGTTGAATGAGTTAGTGTGCGAAGCTGCACACGCCGCAGTGTGGCTACCTCATACGTGTGTAAGATCGTAAGTACTTATTCTTTCTCGGAGCTCACACAGTGTGCCTGTTTCTAGTTTCTGAATGAAGCTTCTAGCTCAGTCTTCCAATTCTCATTGTGCCAAATTGTGCTAAGGTAGAACTTCAGCTAAAACCAGAGGAAATGTGGGGTGAAATAAGCCAAGTGCCACTTTTGGGAGAACTCTGCTTCTAAAAGTTTAAGAGATAATTATGAATCCTGCTTTAGAAATAGAAATCAGTGTTACTTGCCATGAGTCAAGAATTTGTGGCTCATTGTGAAATTGAGACTGGCAGTGCAAGACGTTAAAGAACAAATAGAAGAGAAATGCTGAATGGCTGCTATTTGCTTTCTATCTAGGCTTGGAGGGAAACTGGATTAGTACTGTTAAGGGTCGATTTCATTAAGAGTCAATAGGATATACAAGAATTCTCTAATTACAATGTGTAATTTTTTCTCTTTTTTTGGTACCAGGTTCGAACTTGGGACCTTGCCCTTATGGGGCAAGCGGTGGCACCACTGAGCTAAATCCCCAGCCCTACTACGTGTAATTCTTTAGGAACAGTTTACGGTCCTATATAACTGTCCTGAGGAAAATCATATTTTATTTTATTTTTTTCCTCATTAATTTTGTCGGTACATTTAAAGCAAACAATACAGTTAAATCTATCATTAGCATCTGTACCTTCACGTGATATGTCTTGATTCTTGGTTTTTTTCCCCATCCCCCTGTCCTCCCTTCACCCCCTTCACTATTCCCTATTTACAAAGACTTTATTTCCAATTTTTCCTGTTTTTACATTTTCTCGTTTCCCTCATTTCCTTTCCCCTCCCCTTCCCCTTTAGCCATTTTCTTCCTCTTTCATCCTCTCAATTATACCATTTGAACCTTATTTACACTTTTAGTTTTTCACACCAGCGAAACTATTCAGTATTTACTCAAATATTTCTATTTAATACAATTAAGAGTATAACCTCAATGTGCATCCATTTAGATATAAATGTATCTAGTTTCTCATTCTTTATGGCTGAGCAGTATTGCATTTTATAGGGAAAACACATCTTCTTTATCCAGTCTCCAGTTTATGAGCATGTGGGTTGTTTCCACGTTTTAGCTATTATGAATTGTGCTTCTATAAACATGGGTGCACATATATCACTGTGGTATGATTCTTTTAATTATTTTGGAAAAATAGCCAGCAGAGGGATAGCTGAGTCAAATGGAACCTCTAATTCTACACTTGATCTTAGCCAAAAGGCCGAGAAGCGATGGAACCTCTAATTCTAGTTGTTTGAGGTATCTCCATATTGATTTCCTCAGTGGTTGCACCAGTCTGCACTCGTACCAACAATGGAGAAGGGTTCCTTTATCCCCACAGCCCCTCCAGCATTTGTTATTGGTTGATTTCTTGATAGCAGCCATTCTTCCTGGGGTAAGATGGAATGTCAGTGTTGTTTTCTCTTGTATCTCTCAAATGATCAGTTAAACATGAACTCTTGAATGATCAGTTGAGCAATTATGTTGAACATTTTTTCATGTATTTATTTGCTGCTTTTACTTCTTTGTCTGAGAAATGTCTGTTCATTTCAGATGCCTATTTTTGAATCTGTCTTTATATTTGGGGGTGTCTGATTTTTTTGACTTCTTTATATATTCTAGTTAGTACTCCTTTGTCTGATCAGTAGCCAGTAAAAAATTTTTTCCCACATTGTAGGTTGTCTCTTAGCTCTGTTGGTAATTTCTCTTGCACTGCAAAAGCTTTTTAATACAATGAGATCCCAGTTGTTGATTCTTCGTGCAAGTTTTCATGCTGCTGAGAATTTGTTCATAGAGTCATCTCCTATGCCAATGTCTTTGAGATTTCTACCTAGTTTACTTTACAGTAAATGTAGTGTTTCTGTTTTGATATTTAGATCTTTAAGCCACCTGGATATTAGTTTAGCGCACAGTGAAAGATAGGGGTCTAGTTTTAATCTTTGGCAAGTTGAAATCCAGTTTTCCAACACCATTTATTAAAGAGGCTATCTTTCCTCTACTGAGGATGGTTGGCTCCTTTGTCAAAGATGAGGTAACTAAGTATGTCTGGTGTTGCTTCTGCATCTTCTAATCTATTCCATGAACCATGGGTCTATTTCTTTGCCCATACCATGCTGTTTTTATCACAGTGGCTTTGTAATATAATTTCAAGTTGGGACTTGTGATAACCCCTGCCATGTCTCTGTTGCCTAGAATGGTTTTTGCTATTCTAGGTCTCTTCTGGTTCCAAATGAAGTTTTGGATTGTTTTTTCAACTTCAGTGAAATATATTCTGTTGAGATTTCAATGGAAAATCATATTATACAGCAACAAAAATAAAACTTCAACACACTAAAAGAAATAAAGGAAATGCTACACAAGTCTGTTTTTATAAACTAATAAAGCTAAGATCATAGTTGCAGTAGCATATAAGGTTAGTATACAAAAATCAGTTTTCTTTAAAAAAGAAAATTTTTCTTTCAATTAAAAGTTAAAAATTTAAATACATTTCTTATAATGGTATAAAAATGAAGTAAGTTTGTATTTAATAAAATCTGTGCAAAATAGTATGTTAAAAACTGTAAAACATACCT